TATATATATACTGGTTTTGGATAAGCATGAGCATGTCAGTTGGAATCTCTTGGGACTCCGCGATTCTCAGAAACTGGCTTGCCCATGTTTCTAATCTCTAAAGCGTCCCACTTTTCTTTTCTTTTCTGATGAAAATGAGCTTTTGTTTTATGGACCCACTTGGAAAAAGGAGCTTGTGGCTGTGGGTTCAGGTTCAGCCAATCTTCTCCTTTACATATTACAAGGGAAAAACACGAGAGGAAGAGTGGTTTTGTTCAAGAGGATAAACAATTCTGGCAAGAGCTTAGAAGTCCTCTCTCCTCTCTCTGAGGTGTTTTTGTTTTAGAGAGGCCCATTTTACTGAAGTCTACCCAAGTCAAAAACTGGGCAGAGTAGGATTCAAATACAGTTGAGAGAGATGCCCTTTCACAATGCAGTTTCGTGCCTATGCATCTAAATCCTCTGTATTCTCTTCCTTTTTTCCCCTTGACTCGTTCCAATTAAACCTAGAAAACATGAAAAGGCTCACCTGCCACGGCTTATCAATCTCTTTATGATCCTGAAAAAGAGTATTCTTGGCTATTGGCTAGGTTATCTTCATTACAGTTCATAAATAAATGTGTACTGTATTGTTGCAAGTTTCCTTTGGTTCAAACTTTAAAGGTACAACTCCCTAGATTACAAGTTCTTTGTATTGTAACAAGTCTGGAGGGATATTTGAAAATGCTTTCTATCAATCCATCAAATACAACAGGATATTATGATTTCAGTGGCATCCATCTTACTTGCGAAATCCAGAGACAAAGGATAATTTCTTGTGGCATAAGATGGGTCTTTCCTATCTACTGATTGGAAGCGTGGTGGCAGAGCTAGAAGCACCCAAGATTTGATTTTTGGGTCTCAACTCTCAAGAGTCTTGAAATGGAACCTGATGCCCACAATGTGATAAAAAGCTATAACTAGCTGGCTACAGTTTATATAGTAGTGTGGCAGTTTAGGCACCTTTTGGAGAACAAATCCTGATCTCTCTCTCTCTCTCTTACACACACACATAAGAGTAGAACAATTCAGTTTTGAGTTGTGATAATTTCTTTGTGAGTTGTAATGTGTGTGTCGGTGGGTCTAGTAAAGAACTTTACAAGCCAGTAGGGGTAATCCTTTTAGGGTTGGAACTTGGCTGGAAATTCCTCCCAAGTGGCATGTTTTGAAAGACTTTCATCTTTATTTCTGTGGTCAGAAGTGGAACCTATGTAGCTCACTAATATATCACAAAGGTATACAGAAGTTATTCAAACATGGAACCTGATCGGGTAATTTATTCACCCTCCAAAACAACAACTTTCTAATAGCTGTACCTGTGGGGTACCAACATGGCACCTGATAATGTGCCAAAACAAATGGCACTCAAATCTTTTCTGAAGCATGAGCCTTTATTTGCTTCAGTTGATCTTCGACGGGATGGAGGGTGTGTTTCATGAAGGAAAGCTGGGACCCAAGTTCTCAAAATGTCAATGAAGCATTAGTTGAAGGTAAGAAGAAGGAACTTATCTGTTGCTCCACTATGGCAGAGAGGAAGGGTCAAAAATCAAGATACAGTTGAGTCATGGGTGGCAATTGCATTTATCTAGTCCCGACCTGAGTATCATAAATGTCCTGAACCAAAGTCCATGCTACATCCCCCTTCCACTTTGAATGCTGTGAGGGTGGTTGCTGAGGTGACAGCCCCAATAAGGTTTATGTGTGAAGATGCAATTAGGGTGCTGCTGCATATGGGCGGGCCCAGTTTGTAGAGGTGGAAAAAAAAAACAAAAAAAAGAGAAATGCCTCACATGCCAATCATGCTGCATAGAGTCCCCACTTCACATGTGGTATTGTTATTGTCAGATCTCACCCGTGAATTACCAAACCATCATAGCTGGTTGATTCTTTCTTGAATGCCATGGCATGGGATGCTCATGTCATGCTGAGCATGCCTTGGCTACATGACATGAAAGCCCATTGCTCTGTGCTTAAGGGACTATGGGAGGACTACTGCTTTGTTCTTGATGGTCTGCTTGGCATTTGGGAAAGATTGAACTTCTTATCAACAACACTGCTTCAGGACATGAGGGAGCTTCCTGTATGTATCCTGATTGAACATGGTTGTTAACCGTTTTGTTTTCATTGGCTCAATTGGAAGGTTCCTCCCTTGTCTAGATAGGATAGGAGCTTGCTTTCTTCAGTTTTATGTCTGTCTGTAATGTAATCAGCTCAGAAACTAGGAGAGAAAGCTACGTACCCACTTTGTTTTCTGTTTCTGTATTTTTTTTTTTTTTGCTAAAAAGAACTCGTGCAATCAAAGCCAAACCCCCTAACATGTGAATTCTCAGCAAACCAAAGCAAAAACAGATGAACAAGTGCCTCTCGTTTTCTCTCTCTCTACACACACACATCATAATCTAGCACACCCAGAAAATATAACAGACTGGAGATTGTAACAAAAAAACCAAAACCACACAAGTGAACAAGAAAAGGACGAAAAACTATTCACTGGTAAAAGAAAGTAGAGAATCTTTGCTGCTATGCATCATCATTTGTAACAGAGTTTCCAATACCCAAATCAACATTAATACTATTGCATGTATGACCTTTTAAAAGAAGAAAGAATCACAAAATCATCCAATCCCTATAACCCAGAAGAAGAGATACTATGCCGAGACAGAAAGACTTGATTGTACTGTAACTGCAAGACGGGAGAGGGTACCAAGTAGTAGAGGGTGGAGATCTGATGGAGGAGACTGATGATATAGGGAGGTGAAGATGGGAGTAAAGAACAAAATAAAGGGAGAAATGAACACGCTTCCGCACCTGCTCCAAGGATGAAATTTTTCTTCAATTGAAGCAGGCCGAGCTGCCGAGGTTGGGCAGGAGACAACAGACTAGAGGAATAATGGATATAATGGCTCTGACAACATAATGACATGTGTAAAAAATGTACACTTGTCAAGTAGGAACAGGTACAGAGATGGAGCAGAGGATCAGAATTGCAGGGAACTAAGTAGGACGCTATAATAATAAAAAAAGAAAGAAAAATTCGGTTCTTCTCTTTTTTTTTTTCCTTTTTGGGGTTGTCATTGGTTGATACTAGCACTGAGAGCCCCTGCGGCAGGACAGAGCACCAGCACCAGAAGTAATGGAGGCCACCATGGAAGAGGACTTGGCGCCCAGGCTCGAGGCCCTTGAATAACTGGCGGAGGCCCCAGCTCCGGATGGGGTAAAGTAGGCTCCATTCAGAAGCAAGTCTCCCTCGGATCTCCAATTCCAATTCTTCCATACACCGGATGATGTATCTACCCTCTTTGTCACCTGGCCATGCCAATACACCATCGTGACCATTTGGATATCAAACTTGATTCCATTAAAGTCCAAGTATGGGGATATGCAGAGAAGCAGAGCAAAAATTATACCTCCTTGGCGAATGGATTGGTCGGGGCAAGATATCGGTTTCCCTGGCTATTGATGGTGGGGTCTGCACTTCCACCGATTGCATACATTTCCCAGTGCGTGTAATCGTTGTTCACCACATGGAAGTAACCATGCCTACACCTGGCAATTGGAATGTTATAGTAATTAGTATTAGAAAGAGGCCAAGCCAATAACAGAAAGTTTGAACTTTGATGAGAACAAATGGCAGAATATCTCTTTTACCTAGGCATCCTCTGAATGAGGCCTTCTCCAAAATGGTTGTATGCGATGGTCACTTGCATCTGCTTGTCTCTCGTGTAAGAGTCGCTGTGACCCAAGAGCATCACCTGTTTCACATTGTACACAAAATAATAAATAACCACCAACTGGTTCAAGTAAATGAACCATCCAAGAGCCTAGATAGCATTAAAAATATGTTAATGAGAGAGTTGATTGAGTAGATGTTACCTCGTTGTGGTGGGTGAAGTAGTTGTTGGAAATGGTGATGGCAGTCGAGCCCATGACAGCATCAACAAGGCCATCGGCGCAGTTGGAGAGAGAATTGTGATCAACCCATATGTGGCTAGACCCAAAGATGGAGACAGCATCACCATCAGCCATTGTTCTCCAGCCATAGTGAGATGGGGAACTCCGAACCATAGCATTGCCGGTGGGCTTGCAATCATGGATATGGAGGCCGTGAATGATGACATTGGTGATAAACTGGATGGTGATGCACGCCCCATTGGCAATGTGGACGTTGACGCCACGGCCGTCGATGGTCTTGAAGCTGTTCATGATGAGCTCCTGCTTAAGTGTGATGACCATATCACGCTTGAATACAATCCACAGGGGCTTGTCCTGGATGACAGCATAACGGAGGGTGCCAGGGCGGGGGTTGACGGGGTCATCATCACTAGGGTCAGTGACAACGTAGAAGCGGCCATCACGACCACCAATAGCATTACGTCCAAAGCCAATGCCACAGTCGGCTAGGCGCTTGCGGTGGAGGTGCCACTGAGGGTCACAGCGCCAGCAGTCATCGATGGGATTGCCCGTTCCACATGATAAGTAGCCCAGGTTCCTCCTTTCTGTGCTGTTACGAATGCTCCTGCTCAATACAAAAAACATCGTTTTTAACTGAATAACTAACTAATTATCACTATAAAAAATATAAATGTTCCTTACCCATAAATAATTCAACCATTTTATTCTTTAGGCCAAGCAATTAAGAAGGAAGTTGCGCATTAATCAACGTCTTTTTAAGCAGCCCACTGGTCCACTGTCAGAATCTTAAGGCAGATTCCTCCTTGAAGCACATAGGGCATCTAACCAAATTGGAAGTTGGAAAACATACATGTCCATATCCATTCCGAGGTGCCCATGTGCTTCAACGCGCCGGACAGGGACGCGTGATACGGGAATTCTCTCCTTTTCTTCAATTTTTTTAATTTTCACATATACCTTTTCCCTTATCTTATTGATTAGCAGAAAGCCAGAAACAAAATTTGGCTGTATACGTTCGACAGCTTGTGCTGTGCATAAGCCTGTCCCTGATTGACACGTTAGTCAAGAACAACTCCATGCGACCGTGCAACAGTTGGGTAATTAGTATTGCTGGGAATAGATTAAAGGAATGTAAAGCTAGGCAATTAATTCATTGGTGACTGGTGTGTCGGTGACGGTGGAACCAGCTTTCCACAAATGCTAACAGGGAAATGAAAGGGAGATAACGCTAGACCTAAAAAAGTTCTGGGTATTTTTGTCATTTGAAGGGGCAGTGTGTTGTTATCGAATAAAACGGGTCAAACTCGCTTAGTTGGAGCGGAGGAAACATAGAGGGGTAAGAAGAAGAAACAGGGGAGATGTACTTCCCCTTACTCAACAATGCATGAGCAGGGCTGTCACTTGAAAACGATAAAAGGATTTAATACAGTTAGCATCCAGCCCCAAAGCATGTGTATATTAACCGGGCTTGAGCAACTTGATTCATAGATTAATGGGTTCCAGCAGAATGTCTGATCTGAATAGTCCAAGTAGCCAAGTAGGCTTCTTACAGATCAAAAGAGAGAAGGAAATGGAGGGAGAATTGGATTCTTCCCTTCCCCCACTGGCTCAACTAAAGAACGACGGGAGAGAAACTTGAGTTATCCTTGTCATTATGCCTGAAGCAAACAGAACCAGCATCTTTGCTGGCCTCTGTTAAATACACGAGCCTTTTGTCTTAGTCGAGTGAAATCTTTACAAAAGTGGTTACAGAGGCCCGAAAAATGCATAAGAGGCATAGACATACAAAATAATGTATGCAAATAGGTAAGGAGGAAAAGTGAGATGAGGTAAATTTAAAGCGCGAAGCGCGGATCTCACGACAAATGCATGTGCGGAGGTTGTCAGCAAATAGGAGAAACGTTAGGTGAGTCAGAACTCTGGAGGTGTGGGTTGGTTAGTCATTCTTCACAGTTCACACTCCAAACGGACTTCTAAACACATTAATGGCTATTGTAGGAATGAGCTTAGAGTATCAGAAAACTTTGATAAAAAGCAAGTCCAAAAGAGAGAGACAGATTGAATTCAATAGACAAACTGCGTAAAGTATCTTTAACCATGTCAACATTTGCTCTATTTATTTACTTTTTCATAATCAGCCATGAAAAGACATACGGTTGAACTTTGACTATTCTTTTTTTCCTCTCCTCTAACCTCTCACCGTCCCACTAATGGAAGAATCAAAAGATAAAACAATTAAACAGAACAGAGAAGCAGAGAAGAAACAACAGATAAGAGTGGGGGACCTAAAGTGAAAACTAATCGAATTATTAAGAGATGGGTAGGTGTTTTTGTTATTAAAGGGAAAGGGCCATGTCGATTTAATCTTGTTGTGACGTGCGAATCATGTGAGTGTCTTCCTGACCTACCCCAAATCCCCACGACCCACGTTACTCAGGTTTCAGTGAGATCTGGGAGAATATGTGAAGTGCTGAATTAACTGCGGTTGCAATTTAATAAGAATAAGAATTAAATTCTTGTTGGGGAGAGAGACAGAGAGAAAAAAGATGGGTGGATTGAAAAGGAGAAGACAGAAAGAGCAGGACTCACATATCCACCATTGAAGCCACCTCCTCTGGATTGTCGACAGCGTGCTCATTCCAGGGTTCAGTCTCCTCCAACCTGAAAAATCATTCAAAGAGTCAGAATCCCATAAACCCATTAATGGGGGCACACCAGAGTCGAGTAAAATCATAATGGCAAACAGTCGCTTCTCAGTAGTTCACGTTAAACCAGAACCCTCTGATTAGATCATTCAATGACCTTCAACGACTTTTTACCGGCGCATCTTAGCAAATTTCAGCTTTTTTCCGCCATCATGGAAAAAGAAAAAGTTGCTAAGGTCCTTTTGGTCATCTCAATTGGTCTACCAAATTCGCAGCATCAACCATCAAGATCTCTGACTCAGCGTTGGTAAATAATTAATTAACAACAACATGCAATGCTCCGTCAATCAGGGAACGGATTTAGTTTATTATTTTTAATAATAAAATAAATATAAATAAAATTAAACTAATTATAAATCAAAATCCCGAATTTCCGTACTTCCTTCGTCTATCTGAAAAAGGAAATGTCTTCGATACGGAACGACTCCTACACTGCTCGAGGCAGTCTCCCGGTAAAACCGTAAAAAGCTTATTTTGGAGGGAGAGAGAGAGAGAGAGAGTCAGGCGGGGCGACTGGTCGGAGGGAATTTCATACGCGATACATCCTATGACAACAAAATGACTAAAGTGTCCTCGTTAGATCTTGGAGAAGGCCGTTGGATCGAGTAACGAGTAAAGATCAAGATGGAACAATAGATATTCTTAGAGGATGATTTTGGGGAATGTGAAAAAAATAGGGGAACTGGACAAGAAAGTAGGGGTTGTTGTTTAGTAGTTGATAACCAATGGGGGCTTTTATGATTTTATCCTCGACCTCGAGAGTTGAAAACGAAAGATTGGATCCGAAAAAGAAACTAACGTAATGGAATAAAGGGTCCAGATCTCCGGATCTCGATCTCGACGGTTAATATTGTTCCAAGGTTTTGGTAAAACATCAGAGAATTTATCTGACGACCCAGATTCACCCGCAACAAGGCGGACGGCCTAGATCCGCCGACAATCGAGGAAAAAGCGAACATACAAGAACGAATATCAAAGAGCTACTGAAACCACCGTGTACTGAGTACTGACCTCCCCTCCATTGTTGAATTCTTCGAACTCTGCAGTTGCTCTGTGCCCTCAGTCCTGCAACGAATAAATGAAGTTCTATGAGCTTAGTTTGAGATCCCCGAGAAGCAATTTAGCTGAATTCTGAAAACAAAATTAAAGAAAAAGTTGGAAATGAGGTAGAAATTGCATCATTAAGTAGAATCCTCATTCCCTACTGGTAGAAATGTAAGAGCTGAAGAACACAAAAGCGGCGGCGTCCCAAATCGAGTCAAGAACCGAAGAAACTCTCCTTTTCACTTGGAATTCACCCCTAATTTCGGAAAAATAATACGAAAAGCACGTAATGAAGAAAACTTTTTCGACCTTGAAGCAACAACTTTAAAGAAAACCAGAAGAAAAGAAGAGAAAAAAGAAGGTAAAATTAATACATCGACCCTCATTGTCCCAAACTCTTCCTCATATCCAAGAAAAGCTCGAGTCCTTGAACAGAGAACAACAGGACAAGCAGAGACCACCTCAGAAACCTCCAAAGACCTCTCCATTCCTCACTACCAATCACACCTCATTCAACAACCTCCAATGGCGTAGAAATTCATAGACAAAACACAGCTAACTAACTTGTACCTCGAATCGGAAACCTGCTCTTTCCCTACTCTCGCCATTACGCCGACAAGCAACAACAGAAGCACAAAACACAGAGAGAACCCCCTCAAAGAAACCGCCATTGTCGTTTCAGAGCTAGCTCAAGCTCTGCCACTGTGAGTCTCTGTTCGCTCTTTCTCTGTGTTTCCACTCTCCCCCTTCTCTGGATCTCTGAGAAGATATAGAGAGAGAGAGAGAGAAAATAGATGGAGATGGAGTAGTCAAAGAAACCTCCATTGAAACCGCCCTTTTATAGAAAAAACGTTGGTCGAAGCCCAACTCCGTGAACTCAACCCCATTTACCATGGTTAGGTTAATTAACCCCGCCCTAACAGTTTTAACCCCCTTTAACCACCTCACCACTACCCTAACTGCCACTAACGGACTCCTCTCTTCATCCATTACCAAGCGTGTGAGCACCGACGCCGGGATCTCCCACGTGTAACGGTGTCGGCCACTCACGTTGCGGGCTCCGCCAGTCCCTGATCCATCTCTCCGGACTCCGGACTCCGGAGATTCCCCTGATAACTACGCAACTAAATTTAACGCTTTAACTGAACCTCTAGCCCGTGGGGTCCACCTCTTCCACGTCACACTGTCACCAGCTCTGTTACCGGATATTGCCGGTAATTGTCATTCCCGATTTCCCGCTTGTTCCCTCCGTAATTTCCTATTTTTTTTTTTTAACTTATTTCGAATGGTTTCTTACCTTTTTGGAGGCACGATTATGCTCCCATGCAACAATCCAAGCGGTTCCCATCATAACGCGATTCCACGCGTGTTCTATACGGTTTCGTCTTATTTACGATTTTACCCTTTGAAATCCTAATCCGCAACCCTTCACATGATCACTTAACCAATCATTTCGGGTCCTTTATGTATTGGGTCAGTGCTGTATCCGCTCCAAGCTTATCTACCCGGCAAGGCAGCACCCCGATAACATCGGCCCGCCCCGGGTGCAATTTGTCGGGCAACTGGGTCCCCATTCACTTCTGTTGATAAAGGGAGTTTCAACAAATTGGTTGCTTAATGAGTAAATTTCTGCACAAATGGGCTAGAACAAAAGAAAGTTCCATGGATCTTGTTAGTTGCAGGTTCATGGTAATCAGAGGGGAGGTGGGCCCTTGATCACTTAACCAATCATTGTCGGATCCTTTTGTCTATAACATGACCCGACCCGGTTATTATTTGTAGGGTATCTGGGTCCCCCCTCATTTTCACCCCTCTATAAAAGGGAATCTCCAATTTGGTTGCTTAATGCATAAAATGCTGCAGAAATGGACTAGAACAAGAGAAGGAAGGTTCCATGGATCATGGATTACAAGTTCATGCAAATTAGGGGGAGGTGGGCCCCTTGATCGGACGGTGTAAATTGAATTTCAAGTGTTTGGTTAATTTGCATCAGATTCGAAGACAACAATACATCTGAGATGATTCTTTTTTAACCAATTAGTTCTTTCCTTTACTTTTCTTTTTTGTTTAAACAATGTCAGTTTTGATTTACTAGGAAGATGTAAGATTAGGATGGAGCCCACAGACATGAACAATTTTTACAGTCTTGAAATATACGCCATGTGAGAAAAGGCCCAACAAGGTTAGGGTTCGCTTCTGCTCTCTTTTTTCTTGTTTTCATCTTATAATAAGAAAAAAGTTAGATTTTGTAGGCCAGGTTATATGGGCTACGACCTCAATTGGTCCCAACTCCTCAGTCAAAGTTACTGCACCTGATGGACAAGCAAGACTTGACCCAACAAAAATTGTCTGGGTCAATCCGGACGGACCGGTTGTTGACCCAGACCGACCGGTCGGACCTCTAAGTTGGCCCACAACTTATGCGGATAGGGTATCATATCTACATATACAATCCTGATTAGGCCCATATGAACAAGTTGGGGTATGGATCCCTACCATACACATGGTGCACATGGACATCCATTTGAGTGGTCCGCTGGCCGGAAACACCACAAGTCGCATCGCCTCCGCCCTCAAACTCGGCTTATTGTTCAGTTGTTATCCAAACAATCTTTGATTATGACCATGTCCATGTTTATCCTCTTGAACATGGATTGATCTCCAGATAGCAAGCATCTGGATCGGATTCTAAGACAACATCCGTTGGATTCGCATTTTTGGGGTGAACCTAGTCATGTACATAGAACATCAGTTGAATGGTTTTGACTCATGATCACATGGGGCACACGCATGGTTCGCCCTTATGGGCAATTGGGCATCACCCTTCAAATCATTTCCCTTTCCATTTACAAAGAGTATATTCTAGTCTGCATACTGCTTATCCATTTCTTCAACAAAGAAGTGCCACAAAACCATGAACAAGAAGGAAGATCATCATCATCATTATCATCTAAGCCTCATCTCATCCCTCAATTAATGTGTGTTTGGGTCAAAAGAAAGCAAATAGATGGAAAAGGAGGGAAAGGAAGAAGGAAAGCAAAAGCTGATTTCATCAGTTTGCTTCTGTCCTCGGATTGCTTGTGGTTTAATTTTTGGTGTGGTTAAAGCAAAAGCAAGTCTCCATGGTCATGGCCTGAGATTTTCTTGGTGGAACCAAAATAAAAGAGAATTTTATTCCTTTTCTAATAATAAAATAATATATAATGTTTATGCGATCAAAGGTGTGATTTGGGTCCGACCCTATCAAGTGATTTTTTATCCTTACATTCTAATGTAGAGAATTGAAGGATGAGAAAATGCACAGATCGGATGAATCAAGTCAATCAACTTCTCTTGGATCTTGATCCTGTGTGTGTCCATGAGGATGTGTCCAGTTTGCTTACATCAGGCAAAATCTTGGGGATGGGACAGAATGGGTCCGGATTGGATCCGTGGGATCCGACCCGATACTAGGTGGGTCCAACCTGAGAAAAATCGAATAGATGAGAAAACTGAAAATTTCCATGTCTGTTAGGTGGGACCCATCCGTCGAAGGGTTCTATTTATTATTATTATTATTATTTATTTTTTTTTTTGGGTCCAGGCGTTTGTTATCTCTGTAACATTCTATTACATCTTTTCTTCTTGCCCAACAAGGAGTGGGACTGTGGGAGAGGTCCGAGAGGAAGGGAAGGGACGAAGGGTCAAGGGGCAAGGGGGGGACAAAGTAAAAAGGTGAAAAGAGAGAAGAGCAAGATAATGAGATATGATTTCAAGCACCATGTGTGTTCTCTCTTTCTTTGCAACGGCAATCCCTATCGTGATTATTACCAGCTAACAATCTTGATGTCCATTAAGGGTGCAGATTTAATCATGCCTTTTCACACGCTACACCCTCTATGGCCCACCATCTTGTACCGAATGTCAATAACCTTCAAAGTTCAAACCAGTGTTTGAAAATATGGCCCGGAAATAAAAACCACCTTTTTCTTCTGGACCGAACGGTTTAACCATTGGGTCAATGATGGTTTGAAAGCTTTATAAGTGAGTGAACTACTGACTGCTACACTGCATGAACCGGCAGTGTCGGTGTAGCCAGCTTTTCGGTTGAACCTCTGGGTGGTTCTTGAAACATTGGTTCAATCATGTTCCCTTCCTCCTTGGTAAAACGCTGATGTTGACGATCTTGCCCATCATTTCTCCCATCAAAACTAGGACCCACTAATCGTAACCATCGATTTCTCGTGCGAGTACGATCTACTGTTCGCCAGCATTCACACGTGTAGCGGTGTCGGAGGACAGCGACACCACACCTGGCACCTCATACTTGAGTATGTTTCTTTTACTCTGTAACAGGGATGGCATTTTCGTAATTATAGATTTTCTTTGTGTGGGTAAATTTCCCGTAGTATATAGGGGATTTTTAGGGTTTGCGTGCGACCGACTCCGACTGCCCCCCATAATTTTGGCGGTGGGGTCCCACAGCTACACTACATTCTACATATAGGGTGGAGGGTTGGGAGGGAAGACCGTCACATGGGCAATCGGCGCTCATTAAGGGCAGGGATTGACGGTCAGTCTTTGCTTCGGGAGAAATTGACGGTCTATGTTGACTCATCTGGACCGTTGTTTCTTAATAGGATAAGATTGTATATTTGTTAACTGTTCAATACAAAAAAGGAATTCAAATTGACAACCCACGTGGGTAGAGGCCGCCTTATTAGTGCAATCCTAACGGAAGAACCTTCTCTTTTATCTTGGGGAGAGAGAGAGAGAGAGAGTGGAGTGGAACTGTCGAAGGTAGTTGTTGCATTTTCACCCAGCTTTTTGAGTCATCATAATTCATAATTAGTAGCATTTCTTTTGTTCACCAACGATTGATACTCTCTCTCTCTCTCTCAATTATATTAAGTATTGCAAAAAATAAAACATATTTAGGGTTTTGTTGGCTTTACCTAATTTCAAGCTGAAAAAGATGGATTCAAGCATGTTAATTTTGGTCCAAGGAATGCTAAGATTTGTCTAGCAGCCATGTGCATTCATAGCATAGTTGCATACTGTTGATGTTAAATGTTTATATATAAGAAAAATGAATCACCATTAACAAATACATTTTTAACATCCATATTATGAAATCTTGTAACTATAAAGTACACGAGACTAATGGACCATAAAAGCAGAAAGCCTTTCTGACTATAATATGCTTAGACACCATCAATTTTGGTTTCTCATAATAAAGAAAAATCACGGTTGAGAAATGTATTTTTGACATTTGACTAATCATAATCTCGACAACTATGATGGATTTAGTGTTATTAAGACCTGTCTTTATCATCAAGTCCAGTAGAAATACTTGGCAAAGGTCTAACCATAAGTGATTGAAGTCAAGATTTCACAACTTTGAGAAGGATTGTCATCTTCAAGGGTGCCCATTGAAAACAACATACCTCATTGCATGTGGTAACAAATGTTTTCTACCAAATAATGGTTTATGAATCTATGATTTACCTTTGCTTTTTATCTTTTATTAGATTACATGATTATGTAATTGTAGACTCTCCATGCTAAGGTTAGGGAAACATATTGCTCTATCTCCACCATTTAATCCCCCTGTAATGTGTTTATATCTCACTCTTTAGTTTTTTTTTTTTCGTCTTTCTTGGTCTCTTTGGAATTACTTCTGGATGCATAATGGCTGCAAATTGCACTACAATTTTCTTTTAAAATTGTGTTTTTTCCTATGAAAAAAATACTATTTGAAGCTTTTGGAAGCCTAAAATAGATATCCAACTCATGCAAATATACTTTACAGTCCAAACTGTTTGTAGACAAGATTGTTCT